TTAAAGAATAACAAAATTACCTCCCGAAATGTAATTTCTCTGTATAGAGTGGCATTTTAACTTCTGTTAAGTATGCTTCTAAATCCTACTATTTTGTGTCGTTGACGAAATGACGAAACTCATATGTTTCGTCATGTTCGTCATGTTTGATCGTCACTGACGAAATGACGAAATTATATAGTTTGTCAGGTCACGTGAATTTCGTCACCCATCTATAGTTACGACACAATTGTAAAATCTAATAAAAACCCGGGTTGCAATACGCATGACTCTCGTCATTTGTCACGTTACAATTTCTTTTTTTGATTTTGTATCACAAACAAGTAACGTAAATTTTACATCTAATTTTTTCGTACGTACGTATCTGCTCAACACAATGTCAAACATCAGAAATGAAAATTCGGTACCTTTTATTCCATTATATCTTCGTAATAGTCCATTAGATATTTATAACAGTACCTTGGATATACCAATTTTATTACCAACAAAATTTAACAAAAAAGACCGCGCAAGATGTGTACGAGTACTGGACGATGAATTGAGCATTCAACACACTGGTAAGTCGATTCTAAAAAAAAAAAAAACACACAAAAGTAATTGTATTAATAAAATTTTGCAGTATAGCTCTTTAAAGTTTTTATTTTCTTATGATTTATATAAAATTTAAAATATAAAAATTGATTTTCTCAAGATCTTTTTTTTGTCAATTTCGTTCCTTTTCTCAGCACCTAGCCCATATAATCAATTTAATATAATTAAATATAAAAAATTTACAATATAACAATAGAACAATAGAATAGAACAACTAGAATTTACAATAGAACGATTTAATGCTTACACTAGTTATAATATTTCTTACGCTTAATAATTTAGGAGTTGGGGCATCCTCCATCAGAGCGAATAATCCTATTCCTCATAGGGCCGGTATTTACTATTTTGAAATCGATCTTTTAAATGAGTACGTAATTAATTAAAGATATTCATTTTTAATTTTGACCTTTATACTTATTACATTAAATTATAGACCAGCTAGTATTGGGGTTGCTAGAAAAGGTTTTAATCTCGAAGGACATTCAGGTTGTTGTTTAATTTATTATCCTTAAAATATGAATCCATAAGTAATAATTCAATCTTTGTATATCAGGATGGGAATTTAATTCCGTAGGATATCATGGTGATGATGGCTTAATATATTGTGAAAGAGGTTATGGAATTTCATATGGACCTACATTCTCAACAGGGGACACTATTGGATGTTGCTTAAACTATTATGACCAAATTATTTTTTTTACAAAAAATGGAATTAATTTAGGTTTTCTTTCTTTTCTTTATTTTTCGCAAATTCATACAACTTTTATTAATTAAAAATATTAATTTAAACATTTGTTCTAACAGGAATTGCTAGTACAAGTATTTTCACAGGGGATTTATATCCAATAGTTGGTATACAAACTCGTTTTTCTCATGTTGAAATTAATTTTGGTACTAGACCTTTTAAATTCGATATAGAATTTTATGCAAAGGTAGGTTAATATTTCATCAACTTTTTTTTTAGATGATTCGATTCGACTTTTGTCATTTATGTAATATATTTTACAAAGGCTATATTTCAACAAAATCCAATGTTTACATTCAATGAATTCGATGAATACTATGAAGATGAATATGAGTCTTCAGATTATTTTTGATACGTTCTCTGTCTGAAAGACCTATCTCTTTTGTCCACAAATCGTTTCGTAAGGTTTCATATGGTTTGTGCGTTAAGCTAGTCATAAAATGACAAGATATGTAGCAACTTGTAAAAGATTAATTTTGTTATTCAATGATGAGCAGATATGACATATTAAATGTTGACCTTTTGTACAACATTTAATTGGTCCAAATAATTTAATCGAAATATAAATTTCTTATTGAAAATATAAACGGATCAAGTATCCCTTAAATTGTCAATTTAGAGTGCTTTTCAAATTACTGCTGATCGCCTATCACTGATGTTTTTTCACAAATTTCCATTTAAAAAAATGATAATTCCGATGATTTTCCGTCAAATTTTAATTCTACAGTAAGATACCTGTTTATATATATATCTTACAGTTAATTGATCGAGGAGCAATTAAATATTCCGTTTTTCTTATATAAGTTTTTACAAACTTCGAGCGATAATATTCTACTTATTTTTATTGCTTAAAGTTATTTTTAAATTCTACAAACTGATAGAATTCGAAAATGACTCAAACATTGAACTTTTATTAAGAAATCTTTGAGGCTTGAAAAAAAGCGAATATTTATTAGGGATGAGAAAGAAAAAAATAAAAAAGAAGATACTGTATGTGTAAAAAATAAAAGAAAAAGTAAAACCAGTGATAATTACTATTATTGCTTATAATGGACTATATCGATATCGGTTTTGTATACCAATTTCGGACATTGTAGCAATCAAATTTGGATAGCAATCAAATTCGAACATTGTAGCAATCAAATTTAAACATTGTAGCAATCAAATTCGGACATTGTAGCAATCAAATTCATACATCAGTAAAATCAAATTCGGACACCATAGCAATCAAATTCGGACATCATAGCAATCAAATTCGGGTATCAATGATACCCGAATTTGATTGCTATGATGTCCGAATTTGATTGCTATAATATCCGAATTTGATTGCTATGGTGTCCGAATTTGATTTTACTGATGTGGGGAATGGTTTAGGAAAACCTGCCTTCGGCACTTTTTGGTTAATTTTAAAATTTTCGATTCAAATTAAAGTTTTGGTTCTTACTTATATAAATTACATTTTTTTATCCTACATTAGTAAATTATCAAGATTTTTTATTTGAAAAAATGATCGTTTAAAAGGTTGATCTGAAAATAGATCAAAGGCAGAAAATTGCCCAATCAAATTAAATTTGAATTGCGTGATATCTAAATGTGATATACAGGAAGTTTTCAATATACATATTTCGATATTATCATAATTAATAATCACAAAAATTTTTATGATGTAATTATTCTAAAAATAAATTGACAAAAATTTATGTTACACAATCATTAATCGCATTTTTTTAAAAACTCAAACTATCTGTCGAAGGCAGGTTTTCCTAGACCATTCCCAATGTATGAATTTGATTGCTATAATATCCGAATTTGATTGCTACAATGTCCGAATTTGATTGCTACAATGTTCAAATTTGATTGCTACAATGTTCGAATTTGATTGCTATAATGTTCAAATTTGATTGCTACAATGTCCGAAATTGGTATACAAAACCGATATTAAATAAAGCAGTTAAGTAAAATTTTATTCGTTAATCACTATCGCTATACCGATCTTAAACGATTTGATACTGGGCGTGACCAATAATATTGTATAGTTTATGCAGTAAATTTTTATTTGTCATACCCTACGATTGATCACGTCCCAGTGCCAAATCGTTAAGATTGGCATAGTGATCAACGAATAAAATTTTACTTACAGGTTTCACCCATTTTATTTCTGTTTAATTATTATATTCGGTGTTGGTAATTTCTCGCGGCCAAACAATTTTGTTATCTTTACCGCCAAAATAAGCAATGGCTAATGGCCATTAGACAGCATATGGAAGTTTGTTTTTTGGCTAATCTACGCAAATTCTGATTGGCCAAAATTAACACTCGTTATTTCTAATACTCGTAAATCCAATACTTTTATCTGTTATAGCATTTCGTAAAATTCGTAAAATGATTAATTGGCAGTCCGTAGTTAAAGGGGACAAATTTCATGGTAAAAATCGGCGGGCATTTACTAGTTACTTTATATAGTAAGTGAAATGCAATGTGCTCCGCTTCTTAAGAAAAAACCCTATAGTAAACGATTGAAAAACACTCATCTCATGATCTATCCAACTGATTTTGATGATTTTACAACCATTAGAATCGAAAAATTAGCTCTACAACTTTTATTATAAGCTAAAAGAAGGTTTACTTAATAAAAAAAATACCTTTATATGTAAGCAAGCCCCATTCCTATACTATAGAAAAAACATATGAATTTTCGACTTTGTTTATTATAAGATTTATCATTTTTTGTACCCTTCGGAAACGATTTACTACTTAATTTTTTAAACATCTTATCTTGCTCACGTGAAATTTGAAACGTTTATTCAAAAAGAAATTTGACTTTTATTAGTTACTTCGCTTTAAAAACTAAAAAAAGAATCATATTTATAATATCGTACTATGTATTAATATTATCAAAATGCCTTCTAATAAAAGTTGGTGGAACACTTGATCTCACTTGATCTCCAACGTTTATGTGAAAGTTAAGCATTCAAAAAATAATACGGCAAAATTTTAGACAACTTTGATTATAAAAATTTAACTACGTCTTATTTAGATAAAATTTTTATTGTAAACTAATATAAAAACTCGTGTAACAATACTTTTTAATATAAAATAATTAGCCAATTTCCATTATGCTATTTTGTTCAAATAAATTTTTTGGCTTAATTCAGCCATTGCTCGCCAAATGGTCTAGTAACAACACTGATTATATTCAGTGTTGGCATTACTAGCGACCAAATAACTTTTTTGGCCTTTGGCCGGCCAAAATAGGCAACGGCCAATGGCCAGTATCCAAACTTCGGCCAAAAGCTTCTAACTTATACTGTATAACATTAACCAATTATATTGCCAGCTTTTCTATATGAAGGTTTGACCATTTCAGCCAAATAAATTTTTTACCCAATTTAGTCAATGGCCGCTGCCAATGGCCATGGCCATTGGTAGCCAAATGGCAAAGTGACAACACTGATTATATTTAAAGATATAAAAAAAGGACTATTGCTAACTTGCCCCCGGGGTGATATCGCCTAGTTATATATAAAACCAATCAGATCGCCGGATCTTGCATAATCAAAACAAAGTGAAAAACCAACAACTCAAAATTTTATTATGAAAACTATGCTTCGACCTCTAAGCAAAAGTTTTCAACATCAAATTTTACATGTAAACAATGCCTCTTACCCTACCTAAAGTTATCTCTAACTCCTAACCTTAAGGTTATTTAATTTTTAATAAAAATTTTATAATACCGGGTGATATCACCTAGAGATGTTACCCGGGTCAGAAATTTTGGCTCGAGTCAATAAGATTCGGGTCAGATATTGACCCGGGTCATGAAT